CCCCCCCCCCCCCCGGGGGGGAGGGATCGAACTCACACCTTGCACTTTCGAGGCAGGCGTGCTGCCACTGAGCTAAATTTCCGGCTTGTAAACGGGAAAATTTGACCACTAATGCAGGTGGCAGTTACTGCCTTTAACTCCGTGTCTAACATGATCCCAGTGGTCGTCATATTAATACTTAAGAAGTAGTACTTATTTTTTTTATCCTTAGTGGTGCTAAAAAGGGACAAAGTTTGAAGTTTTAGACCCACAACTATCATTTCACTTCATTTATGTACTCTGAATTATATTTCATACCTGATGAAAAAATTCACGTTTCCTCATTTTAACAAAGTCTCTAGTAGTGTTGTGAACTCTACTTTATCAGTAGTGCTTAATCGTTAGACTTTATACTGTTAAACAGATCTGGAGATGAGGTACAGTATTCTGGTTAAACATACACTTTTTGTTTTATTGTCTTTAGGTTTTGGAACATTTATTTATATTTGTAGGCAAGATCTTTTCCTTGTCTTTATTTTCTAAATGAGACTGGCAGCTATCCATTTTGCTAGTTTTATTTTTTAAACATAATTACTTTCTAAATGACCAGCACCAGCTCCTTTAATGAAAAAAGTGAACTTCATGGTGGAGGAACTAAAAATGTTCTTGGAATTCTTTGGATTAGAATAGTTTGAAAAATTAACAATTGCTGTGAAATTTTTTTGAAGTTCCAAAGTTTAAAGTGAGGGCCTCTCTTAAGTAATGTTAATTACATTGAATACAGAGTCCACTGCTTGTTGACCATTTTTGCCACAGGGTTATCACATTACCCTGAATGACTCATTTAAGCACTATTTTATCTAGTTTTCTTCCTAATGTAGAGATAATACTAGCTTGAGCTCTTCTATAATGAATAAAGTTAGTGGAATTTAGCTAATTTAAGGATTTTTGGATATTTTGCTAATTCATTGCATCTTGTACTGTAGTTTATTTGGAGTCATTTCAAAGTGTACTGCATAGAAATCTACTTTTCTTTTTAGTACTACTTGAATTTCCTAAATGAAATTTGCTCAGGGAAGTATTAGCTGTTGTATCAATTTGAGCCTATACACTAAGACAGCCGTAAAAACACATAATCATAGAAGTGCTACAACCTCCAACAATTTTAAAGAATAAAGAATTGGCAGGTGTTTTGGGTTTTTTTTGTTTTTTTTGGTACCAGGGATGGAACTTGGGTCCTTGTGCTTTTGAGGCAGGCGGCGGAATCACTGAGCTAAATGCCCAGCCCAGCAGTTTTTGTTTTGCATCTAAATAATTTCTGTATCTTATGAACCCCTTACTAAACTGTGTCCCGTAAGAGATGATATGGTGATAATTTATCGTAAGTTTTACGCAAAATAGCAAGCATTTGGAAATAACGGTGGGTGTCTTCAACATTGGTTATGAGTATAGAATATTGAGTCTGGGTCTGAATTCCTCTTGTCACCATTGGCAGAAAACTGTAGCTCTGAGCCCATTTTCACATTAGTTAAGTGGAGATTGATAAAGTCATTTGGAGTATTAAATGAGGTAGTTCAAGGACTCAAAATAAGTGGAAATTGCAATTACTGATTAGGACACTTTGCTTTTTACTAATATTAAAGGGGGTATATTACATGATTTTGGTAATCAAAATAGGAAGAAAATTTACCTATAATATTACTACTTCAATAAATCAAAGTGTTTTTCTACTTTTTATATATATCTCTTTAGCCTTTGACCATAAGTGTACAAGAAATCAAATTTAACACATTTTTGTTAAATTCTGAATATTTTAACTACTGCATGTAAATAGAGCAGTCTGATTTTATCTTTATTCTGATCTTTTGGTGAAAAAGCAGCAGAACTTTGCTTTAGTGCAATTTCCACTTGGCTTTTCTCATCCCCAAAAACCTCTGGTTTTTATTTAATAGCTCAAGTAATAATGATTATTGGTTTTTGAGGACTTTTTTTTGTGGCCCCACAGTGATGTTGCCCCATATATTATTAAACCCTCAAAATGCCTGTCATCTAGGTAGTATTACTACATTTTGTGGTTAAGAAAACCAAAGGCGTAGAGATAAAATTAAAGTCAGAAGCAGGAAAAGTTCATCAGGCCTAAAGAGTCTGACTTGAGCTGAGAATTGTGCTAGGTTCTGTATTTGTGGATTCATTGTATGGTATTAGATCACGTATGTAGGCAAGAATTGATCCTGAAAGGATGACTTTCAGCTTCCTTTAATAAAAGTAGTAGTATTTGTACTTATAATTACTTGGATCACCACATTTTAACAACATTTTAGTGCCTTAACAGATGATGCCATTCATCCATGTTTATGTTAGTTGTAGCAATAAAAATATTTCTATACAGTCAAGTTCCTAGAACTAAATGTTTCTTTTTTAAAAAATTAGAGATAAAGTGAACATAAAGTTTGTGATAAAGGGAAACTAACTTTTCTTTCAAGAGATAGTCCTTAAAACCTTACACTTCATAGTCAGCACCAGAATCTGACAAACCTGTTAAAATACAAATTCCTCCAGGAGACCCTCAGAGATTCTGGTCTATTGGGTTCTAGGATGGAATCCAAGAATTTATAGTTTAAATCCAGGAAATGCTGAAGAATCCCAGCTAATGAGCTTGGTAAAGTAAGGAAACAGTTATTGATATTAGTGGTAAACTGAGAATGGTGGGACTTGCCTGTAATCCCAACCACATGAAAGACTGAGGCAGGAAGATCCTGGGTTTCTTGCCAGCCTGGACAACACAGTGAGACCCCATCTCAAAAAACAAACAAACCCACAACAGCCTAGTGGTTATTGAGTCAGCTGTTGGCTGACAGTGAGCACCCGAATCTTGGTTTTTAAAGGGACCAGTACTTTTTTTGAGAAGTGGTTGATTACAGAGCTAGGGTAGAGAAGATACAGGATGAGCCTGGAACATGTCATGGGTCTTGAAATAAAGGAAGTACTCAGAAAAAGAACACGAGCCAACTTGAAGCTACTAATGGCCAAGTTTAGAACAATTTGAGCAATGAGATGAGTAATACTGGTACTGAATTTTAACCCATAAAATAAGTATCCATGACTTCAACTATAAGTAGGGGAAAAGGGATCTGTAAAACTCTGCATTGTGAGTAACTTACTCTGCGAGTGTAAGACAAGCAAACATTTCTAATAAATTTTTTTTTCTATTTTGAGGTAGGGTCTCACTATCTAGTTCAGACTGACCTTGAACTCACTAGGTAGCCCAGGTTGGCCTCAAACTCACAGTAATCCTCCTGCCTCAGCCTTCTGAATGCTGGGAGTACAAGGGTGCATTACCATGCACAGCCTCTAATAAATTTAACTTGACAAATGGATGCTGTCTTGCAATATGAGTATTACATGACTCTGTCGCATGATCACAACTGAGACAATGATTCTCTATCTCTCAATGTGGGATTGTGGGTGATTGTCTCCCAACAGTAAGGGGTTATGGAGGAGATCTCATATGCAGAGGAGGAAGAGAAAAAGGTGGAGGAGTCCCTTACTTCAAATGAGATTAGGGAGATCTGTAAAATGTGGGAAATGGCACACAATTTTGTAGAAAAACACCACCCAGTTAAGACTGTAGCAGTGCGAACAGTGAATCTGTTTAATGACATGAAGTGTCACATTTCTGCAAAATCCTCAAAAGCAGGCATAAGGAAGTCATCGGATGGGTTCCTTGTTAAAGTTTCAGGAAAAGAAAAAGATTCCATTGAGCCAATAGGTAGCAGTGATTGCATTAGTGATAAAGTCAGTCTACACAATAACCCTCTCTTGTCTACCTCATACCGGCCAAGAAGGTTTTCAAAGGTAAATGCAAGTTAATTTTTCTTTATATTTAGTATTTTCTTAATTTTTTTCTATTTTATCATTTTTATGTAAATGTTTTTGGGTTGTGGAATGAATCATCTGAATTTCCATTATCATGGGGAAATTATCTTTGATATACAAATACTTTGGGTTATAAGCATGTTTTTGGAATGAATTAAGCTTACAAACCAAAATTTTATTGTAATTCCTTCTTAATGAAGAATTCTAATTAAGAAACAGAAAGAAAGAAGGAAATAGAAAATTGTTGTTAAACAAGTGGAAACATAGTTACTGTTGCAGACAGAATCTACACATGATGGTAGTGGATGAAAATGAGGAAATTGGGATATTTAAATAATCCCAAAGTATCTCTCCCAAGATAATTATTAATTACAAAGGAAAAATAGTAATTTGACAGTGGAAATACCATGTAGACCAAGTGATTAAGGTTTATATCACAGAAGACATGGATACCATGACATGGTGATTGGGGCAAATCATTTCTGTGAGGTTTGTTATTTCTGCCAAAAATACATAACCACTTTATCTGTCTAATCATGGTAAAATATCACATAGACCCAAACTGAGGAACATTTCCCGAACTGGCCAGTATTTTAAGTGTTAAAGTTAAGACCAGTAAAAATTGAAGAACTATCACATATTGGATAGTAAGGAGAAATAACTAAATGCAATGTGAGATCCTGGATTGGACTTTGGAACAGAAAAAAGACATTATTGGAAAACTGTCAAAATTGAACATGGCCTATATTTCATTATTTGACTTGTATCAATGTTCATTTTTTGGTCTTGTGATTTTACTTTAATTATATAGATGCTGGATGAAAGATATGAGGGGAACGCCACTATTTTTGAAAGTTTTCTGTAATTCTAAAATTTCAAAATATGTAAA